CGTAGCCGCAGAGCCCCCCGACGAACACCGAGAGCCCCAGCACCTCCGGCAGCAGGAGCTGCAGGACGCCATAGAAGAAGCCGATCACCAGCGAGGCCGGCACGGGAGGGAAGACCAGGCGGGAGCTGTCGAAGGGAGACTGGAAGCAGAGAAGGACGGTGGGACAGGCGGCTCCTAGCTCACCCCACATCCTCCAGCCCCCAGAACATCCCTGCCGAGCACTGGGGACGCCCATTCGGGAAAAGCCAACACCAAAGCAGCCCCCAGAAGCCCTCCCCAAAAGATGTACCCGGCGGCGAGAGCAGCCCCTCGCCCACGCCGAGGTGGCCCGGCCGCCGGCGGCTTTGTCTGGCAGGTCCCCGAGCTCCGTGGGGACGTTTCCTTCAGCGAAGCTAGAGGGAGCCCATGGCTTTTTTGCTTTTCCCCCTCGCCCAACCGGAGCTTGCAAGTTTAACTCCAGCTCCTCCGAGCCAGTCTTGCAGCCCTTGCCGGTATTAGGTAAGGGCCCCGCTTGGGGCGAAGATGCCACGAGTCACGTTGAACACGCACAAACAGGCTCCGCCTGAGCAAAGGCCACCGTTCCCACGGCCCGGCGGGCGCCGGCGGGGGCGTAAGCTGCGACTCACCTTGTGATGCTGCCCATGCAGCAAGAAATGCAGGGTGATGAGATAGTAGTTACTAGCGGGTGGCTTCATGTGGAAGACAAAGCGATGGATGAGGTACTCTAGCAGGGACCACAGGAACATCCCCAGGAGGAAGATGAAGGGGAAGTAGTATTTGTGGACGGGGATGGAGTACTCTACACAACGAGACGTGCAGCGGTCAGCACGGCAGGCGACGTGCGGGTGCTCTTATCCATCGCCATCCTCCCATTGGCATCCGGGTGAAGCTCGGCTCTCCCTCCCTCCCACCTCTCGTCCGCCTCCTGCCCCAAGCTTCCCCAGGGAGCTACCTTCCCAAGCACCGCTCCAAGCCACGTTTTCCTTTGATTCCCCTTAATTTACACTCTTTACGGAAACAGTCGGCTTCTCACTGCCGCAAGGAGCTGGCAAGGGGGGGTCCTCTGCGTCCCAGATGCCAGTGGGGGCTTGGACACGCACTCCAGGGACAGCCCTGTCCTTACAAAGCTGCTTCACCCACCAGAACAAGGCAGGAGGGACCTTATCTGCACAGGCAGCACTTGTGACAGTTTAAAAAAAAAACCCCAACGCCAGCAACACTGTTTATTTTTGGGGAGAAAGAATAGGTTTGTTAGGCACTTTCCCCCGCAGAGCATTTTTCAGCCACCTCCTCCTCTCGGGGCTGGCTGCCAGCCCTGCGTCCTCGCTAGCAGAATTCAGATCCCCCCCAAACCTGTTCATTTTTGGGAGAAGAAAAAAAAAAAAAAACCAAAACCCAACAAAACCCCTTGGCAGCAAGGTGCCAAACGCCGCAAGGAGCAGTGGGGGTGCCGGTGCAGCGGGTGCTCCACCCCGCCGGCCGGCCCAGCCCGGCACCGGG